TAGAATGCATCCAGCGCGAGCCGTGATTGCGGTCAGATGCATCCGGGAAAGTCCCTGTGTGATTTTATGCTCTGAAAGACGGAGGCCCCCCCCCCCACTCCCCCCCCAAACCGTCGACATATATGTCCATGGCCATGCCCGACCGTTGGCAGGCAACGACGCTGTACATGCCGCGTTTCCCGTCTAAACAACGACGCTGTACATGCCGCTTTTCCCATCTATAAACATTTCTCGAAACGGAAAGTTTCCTCGGCGCCCGAATCTGGACGTTTTTTTGTGGAAATGTGCAGAAAGTCGCAGCCCCCCTAAGCGCAGCCATACCTGGCTGCGAACATTTCGAGAGTAGTGCAGCGAGGCCCATATTCTTCTCTCTATCTATCTCGAATGGACCTTGCTCCACTACATGTACCTGGACAGACTGCCAGACAAGATACTTTCGAGGTGCAATCCCAAGAATGGACGTAAAATATAGGGTGTTGCTGCACTACTCTCGACATGCACAAAAGACAAAAATCTTGGCGGTGTATCTTTCCGAATTCTAGCGGAAGATTCACTCTCGTTTTGCACATTTCGAGAGTAGTGCAGCGAGGCCCATATTCTTCTATCTATCTATCTCGAATGGACCTTGCTCCACTACATGTATCTGGACAGACTGCCAGACAAGATACTTCCGGACTGACAACTCACCTTATGTAGGAACCAACAAACAGAAAACGCTCTGCCTCCACGAGCAGAAAGCTGGAACCATAACTTTTCTGCTGTCGAAATATACTCTGGAAGAGCTACAATTTCGGGCAAGGACCTCCTCTCATCATATCTGGTTCAGCTCGTGGGGTATCAATATCATTGATATACTCCACGAAGTGCTCCAGCGACGAGGGGGTCGGATAAGTGAACTTGCTTACTTGACCCCTCCCTGAGGAAGCTGTAGTTGCCTGAATATGTCAATGATAACCCCCTGCCCCCCTCTCGAAGCCCCCTGAAAAATGTTGTACCTTAAAAATTTTATTGCGGATTCGGACAGCTCTTGAAGAGCGCAGTCGGAATCTGCCCAAGAAAAAAAA